TTGTGGAAACTGTGATACATTTTATTTTTCAGGATTATTTGATGAGCAAAGCTTAAAAGAAATAGAAATATTTTGTAGCATCTTTCTAGCGTCTTTACTGTCACTTTCAATCAATTTAATGCATCCTTACTAAATAAAAGTAATTTTCACTTGTATTTGAAACAAGAATATAATACCAGAATATGAAACAAGACAACAGCCATGAGTTAAATATAGTACAGTTGCTTTATTCATAATTTCATCTGACTAGTTGGTTATATTAGTTTATACGAGTTAAAGTCTAAACAAAACCATCATCATCCCATGCATCCTGCGCAAAATTCAGTCAGATCCAAAAAAAAGAAAAAGCCGAATAGAAAGAAACACCGTGATCATCACACACTTTCACATTAGTAGGCATTCAGGTGTAAAAGAGCGGAGCGAGAGGAAGCGCCCTCATGTGGACCGGATGAGGATCTGCGTCGGCCGTACCATTGATCCTTCAGTTCGAAGCAAAGTACAGCAGCTACAGGACATCCGAGAACACTTTACTATATTTTTACCGTGGTAAAACACGATGCACTGCCACAGACCCTCTAAAACACATAAGGACACACACACAGTTAAGGAAAGCAGGAGAGATGGAGAAGCGAAGATGTTCCGGGGTGCAGTTTGTCTGTGTCTGTAATGAAATGTAATGGAGTTTCCACCGGGAGGTGGGCGGGGCTAGAGGGGGCGGTGATTGACAGCTTCACTATCCAATCAACTTCTGCACAAAAGAATCTAGCTGGTCTTCATCTTTGATGCCCACGAACTGGTCGATGATATCGCCGCCACGCATGGCGATCACCGTGGGAACTGCTGACACCTACAGCACATCACGAACAATCAGCATCCCATAATAACCAGCAGAATCTGTTGAGATTTGCTGTCTGTTTATTTGTTTATTTTTGTACTATTTTGTTTATTTTCATTTGTATTATTTTTTAATGTCCATCAAGTTTTATAGATTTTTTTAGTGAAGTTTTAGTTTCAGCTATTTTAGTACTTTAAATAAAAATGAGAACAAAGATTTTACAGTTTTAGTTAAGAATAATCCTGCTAAGACATGCATAATATGTCACCGTTTTCATGGTGTTCATCCAAAGCATGTTGTTAAAATTTAGTTTATTGCCAAAGTAACATTTCTAATTTTCGTTTAAGTTTTTCTATTTCATTACCAAAAGTGTTTTTAATAGTTTTAGTTAAGGGTAACAGCCCTGTGTCGTACCCCGTACTCGATGGCAAGGTCTGTGTGTTCATCGATGTCGACTTTGGCCATGGCGACTCGACCCTTCTGTTTGGCGATGGCCTTTTCCAGCCGTGGGCCGAGGATTTTACAGGGACCGCACCACCTGCAACACAAACAGACGGCAGAAATCAGCTGATTCAGTGTCACTGCAGCCACTTCCCAAGAAAATCACTCCAAAGTTAACTTTATACGCCATCACGTATTTCCAAATGAACGTGATGACTGCAGAACTACAGAGGACTACAATCCCACTGCTGTGAACACTGAGCCACAACAATGAGGCTCACAGAAACTGATCTGAGCTCAGCTGACACGATCTCTGAACAAACACAAACCTGTCGGTGAGTCGTCAAACACACACAACGCTCTTTATATAACACAACACCTGCTTCACCGACCATTTTAAAGAAAAGTTTCCCTATAATGTCATGTGGTGTAACCATCCTGTGCACTGTGACTGTGCATGTT